ATATATATACTTAGCTTCTAATTTTTTGCAGATCAACAATTAGTTCATAAGATTTTATGAAAATAAAAGAAAAAACAAGTATAACATGTGTTAATGATAGATTTCTATATCGTGGGAGAGAGATCAGACTAGACGAATTTTTACATCAACTGTGAGTAATCAACAATGATATGAAAACATGACAGACTTGATGTGTCATGATTGATCGGTTATTACATCAAATTTGATTGCACATTACTGACTTATATTTCTATCAAGGTTGATCACTCATAATTGTCGAAGATTTACATCACTGATGATTAAAATTTGAAGGCCGAACTCAAAGGGAGTAAGCAGTCTAGCAATATGCCAGAACGTATATGTTAGAAGGAGATGAAGCATCACACGTACACAAAAGTTTGCATCAGATTTTTCACACTGCCATTTAGAATTTGATGGAAACTTGTAGGTAGCCAGTGACAGAAATCTCTATCAGTCTTGCTACTCAAATGATTTGTCAAATGATAGTCACTGTTTTTGCAGGGAAGTGTAAGTGAAAAATTAATTCAATTTGATATCGATGTTTTTTGGTGTTTTTGTAATTCGTTTTTTTTCGGTAAACTGAAAGATCAGGTTTTTAATATAGTTTTTAAACGGTTTAAAACCTGAATAAAAAACCGTGATTAATCAAAAAACCGATTTTTTGGAAACGGTGCCCATCCCTAATTTCTGGAGCACTGCCTTGTCAAATTGAAGAACCTGAAATTGGATCAAATACAAGAAGCATAAGCAAACTAGAAAGTTTAAGAGAAAGTCAGAGATCAGTTCGAAAGCGAAAAACTCCTAATTGGCTACATGACTATGTAGTACACGAAGAATAAACATCTGATGAATACCTAAAATTTTCAAACTTGTGCGAAAGAGATGTTGATGAACTAACATACCTTTGTGAAACTGAAAATGAAGACGAAAAAAAGAAAAAAATGGCATGGAGCTATCAATGCAGAAATTAGAGCACAAATAAAAAACGACACGTGGGAAATAAAAATAGAAAGAAGAAAGAACATAGTAGACTTAAAAATGATACTCAAAGAAAAAGGAGATACCAAAAAGGCTCTCCTTGTTGCACGAGGGTTCACACCAAGACCGGGAATAGACTATAATGAGACTTGGGCCCCAGTTGCAAAGCTAAGTTCCATAAGACTGCTGATATCGCCGGCCGAGAAAACCTGACATTACATCAGTTAGATGTCAATACAGCTTACTTTAACGGGGACTTGGAAGAACGAATAGTAATGAATAATCCAGAGTACTAAGAAGAGTACGTCGCAGAAATTCTAATAAACGAAAGCAAAAACGAAATCTTAACTATATACCATAAAGCGAAAGAAATGCTGAAATGATAGATATTGGACCTGTGAAAGATTTCGTTGGTACTGAAATTAAGCAAAAAGAAGGAAAAATAATATTAAAACAAAGAAAATATATAGAAAAACTACTTTCAAAGTTCAGAATGGAATAATGCAAAAAATGTGTTCCGCCAATAGAACCGCACCTGAAGTTAGAAATCCAGAAAAATGTGATGGCAACTTACCTTACCTCTCACAATTCAACAACTGTTTTGGCAGTGAACATTTCAAATCTGCAAAACGAATCTTAAGATACCTTAAGGGGACAAAAGAAATGGGTTTAAGTTTCGACAACAATGCCGATAAAGAATTGATCGGATATGCAGACGCTGATTGGGCAGCCTCCACCATAGATCGAAAATCATTCACTGGGCTTTGCTTCATGATGTCAAACGGTGTTATCAGTAGGGAATCCAGGAAGCAGAGAACAACAGCCATGTCCACCGCGGAGGCCGAATATATGGCGTTATGGGATGCTGTAAAAGAAGCAATGCATATTCGACTTCTTCTTGAAGATATGACTGCCCGTAAGCAACCAGTTATTACCATTTTTAATAATAACTAAGCGGCACTGAAACTGTGCCACAATACTATAATAAGTAACAAAACTAAACATATTGACCTTCGAGTACGTTTTTTGAAAGAACACATATTAAAACTAACTATCGCCGTGAAATATAAGGATACAACTCAAGAATGATAGAATACAAGATTGCGCCGATTGCAGGAGAATTTGTGAGAGTAATTTTGGGGTGACGTCACCGTAGAGTTGACAACTGAGAGCGGCAAATAAAACTGCTGTCTAGTGATGTGCTGAATTGTCGGTACCCAATACTTAAAAAAGGTTTCGGTACCCAATACTTCCTTATCGGTACCCGATACTGATTCTTTACATTAAACCTTCGCCATTATATGCATTTCAAGTTAAGAAAAAACTTTCATTACTTGAACTTATCGCAACAGAGGAATATTATTTTATCAGTTTTAACCTTAGCTGATCCAAGGTTCAAGATAAATACTTTGACGGATGAAGAAGCCTTTCAGGGGGGAGATTCTGTAACCAGTTAG